ATTTGTTCCTCTCAAGTGGGGTTATACAGTCATTATTGCTATCGATGCCCTTTTCCCCTTTCCCCCATTGTCTTCACATACTCTCAGGGAATCATTATTCTCATTATTTCTGAAGGGTTTATCTATCTTGGATTTCATACACTGAGTGGCCTTAATTATACAGATGAACATATACAGGTCTCACAAGATTAATGAGGTGAAATTAGGACCATAATAATAAGGGGAGGAAATACTAAAGAACTAGAGTATATATGTGCTCAGTGCTATACTGCACTGTGGATATATCATCCTTTCCATGTGGCTCTTCTGTGAGGGACTGTCCAGTTATCTTATAGGTAGGTTTTGGTTCTCCACTTGGTCTATGCTCCTTCATGTCAATTTGATTGTTTGTTTTTGAATTTCTGATACTTATTCCTATTGACACCTTATGATCACACAGGCTGGTGTGCTTCTTCCATGTGGGCTTTCTTGCTTCCTGGCTATATAGCCACTTGTTTAACTTCAAGTCTTTAAGACCCCAGATGCTATATCTTTTTATAGCTAGGCACCATCAGGTTTCTTCACCACATTTGCTTGTGCACCCATTTGTCTTCAGCGATCGTGTTGGGAGGGTGAGTATCATATAATGCCACATTGTTTGAACAAACAATTCTTGTACTGAGTTAAGATTAAGTAGAGGCCAAAAGTCTATCTGCTTCCTTATTATATTTACATATATATGTATACATAAAAATATACCTATCTTTATATATATATTTACATATATGCATATCTATTTTGATACCTATATATAATTTTTACTTTCTTATCCTTTATTCTATTTCTTTTTTCTTCCCTCCTGCCCCACTATTATGTTTACCTATCGTTCACCTTTCAGTAATTCCTCTTGGATAGATTTCAGTTTCTCAAACATTACCAGGAATGCTACACCCTCCTCACTGTCAATTTCAGATCCCTTGCTATTCCCCTGTCTCTGTCATTATTTTCTCATTGCTCCCCTCATCCTGCTCCTCTCTCATGCTCCCCTGGAACCATCGGTCCCATTGCTGTCTTCTTGGGATTTTTATCCCGTCTATCTTATATAGATAGACACCAAGAGAAGAAAAAAGAGAGACCATACAAATAGTTCCAAGTCTAACTGTTGTGCTAACCCAGAGCAGATGAGTATCCCTCTGTTAAATAGTGAACAGTCCCTGTTATAATCCATCGGTCCAATCCTATTTTCTTTCAGGGTTTTATATCCCAGGATCTGCTTACCTAATAGCACTTATATCCTTTTAGCCCTCGACATTCATGTCCGAGGGGCAAGCCTTCTATAAAACCCCATTGCTCTTCCTGCAGTCAAAAATGGAGTGGTCTAGTGTCCCACTCTCTACCCCATTGCACCTTTAGACTTTCAGTGTGGCCTCTTTATGAATATCCCCCAACCAGTTCAGATGAGGTGCCAAATGCTTCCCCCCAAGTCAGAAGTATACAATTGAGATTTTTCAGACTAGTGAGTGCTTCAAGTGCTGCAAAAGTGTGTTGAAACATTTCAATTACTATTCCATCGATTCCTGGAACCTTGTTTTTTGCCAATACCTTCAGTACAACTTGGACTCCTTTCTTCAGATCCTTAGTTCTTGGTGATAAATACCTCCTGAAATAGTTCAATGTTGACCAATTCTTTTTGGTACAGTGGCTATGAACTCCTTCCATCTTTTGATGCTTCCCACATCACTCAATATTTTGCCCATATAATCCTTCAATATTGCATCATGAGGCTTGAATATTTTTTTTCTTCCATTGAGTTTGAGCTCTGCTGACAGTATTCTTCCTTTTGCCTTTCTAAATTCAGGTCTTTGCACATTTTATTGTAACACTTTACTTTGTCTTTCCAAGCTGTGTTTTGAAATTTTCTATTCAGCTCTTTTATTATTCCTTCCATTTACTTTAGCCGCTCTTCCTTCAAGGGAAATTTTCAGAGTTTCTTCTGACATTCATGTTGGACTTTTTAAACTTCCTATTTTTAATGACCTTTGATTTCTTCATTAATCTTAATGTCATCTCACAACTTGTCTGGTTTTCAGTCATTATTAGTGTTCAATGTGTCAAATCTCTTCTTGAGATGGTCGCTAAATTCAGATAAGATTTGCTGAAGGTTGTATATTGACTCACATGGTCTTATCTTCATTTTCTTCCATTTCAATCCAAACTTGCATCTGAGCAATTGATAGTCTGTTTCACAGTTGCCCCCTGACCTTCTTTTGGTTGATGATGGTGAATTTCTCCACCATCTTTCACCACAGAGGTAGTTAGTCCATTTAATTCCTTTGTTTTCCATCTGGCCAGGTCTATGCATAGAGTTGCCATTTATGTTTTTGAAAAAAAGTATTTTCAGTGAAGTCATTGGTCTTCCAAAATTATGTTGTGATCTCCAACATCATTTCTATCACCATGGGCATATTTTCCCATTTCTGATTTTTCCTCTTTGTTTCCAACTTTTTCATTCATTATCAATGCATCTGGATTGCATATCTGGTAAATTTCAAGTGGAAAGCGTTGGTAGAATTTTTAAATTTCTTAATCACTGACATCAGTGGTTGGTGCATACATTTGAATATTAGTTGTATTAACTGGCTTTGCTTTTATTATGACTTAAAGTTTATTGTGTCAACCTGGCCGATAAACACATGTGGGGTTAATTGAAGGGTGGAGAGATAAATGGCTCGGTGTGGCTTGGTGAGCCTCACCTTTTTAGTTCTCGAGTCTCTTGCTTTGTGATGGTCAGACCAGGGTGCAGCTGCCTTAGCCAGTTCTCTGCTTCAGCTGGCAAGGCTCACTTACTGCATGACATCCCCAAGGAAAAGCCGCATGGACCTACCCCAATGCAGCCCTGGGTGCTGGAGCACCCTAGTGGAGACCCCTGCCAGTGCTGAGATGCTTACATGCTCACTAATTCGGCTTTCCTCCTGCAGTTGGCATCATTGAGTCTGTTTTGTGAGATGGAGGAGGACTTTGTGGACTGGTGTCGGACATATGGGTTAATGTTGGACTTGTGGGTTTGGGCAGCACTGGGTTGGGATGTTTTCTTGATGTGCACTTACCCTTGATATAAAACTCTCTTATATACATATGAGTTTCTTTAATGTGCCCAGACTAACACATATTATGAATGTATTATGCATTCTCTCTTACAGTTTTGCTTTTATTTATATAGTTGATCCTGTCTGATTTATAAACATGAACTTTGTGAGCCACACATTTTATGTGCCATTTTTAATATACCTCTCAGGGTTTTGGTTTTTTTTTGGGGGGGTGCATTTTAATTTTATGTTTAGATAGCAAAAATTTCCTCAGAGTAACTTTTGTCTTCCATCAAGAAAGACCTGAAAAGTTTCATAATGCAGCTCTAACTTCTCTTCCCTAAAGGATTTCTGTTTTTCTATATACAGACTTATTGATAAAGCTATTTTTTATCAAGCTGGCCAGGAACAGAAGTATTTCTGGAAAATGCATAATTTTTATTTGTTTTCTAAGCTGAGAGTAAGTCTTAAATGGTTCATCCAATGATAGTAATAATTAGTAACAACACACCTTGAACATTGACTGTGTTACAAGCACTGCAGCAGATGCTTTGCAATCCTATGACAGAAACTACTGGTTGGCTGTTCCAATATCTATTTTCATCTATACATGAAAAATACTACATTTCCCAGCCTCATTTTTAACTGTGGTTGGCAGTGGCTATAATTTGGGAAATTAATTAGACATAGGCAGAAATATTATGTTAGTCTTTCTTGGAGGACTTTTAAAAGAAGTCAGATGGAAAACAGGGCAATGTTATCCTCCTCTTCTCTTTACATACTGCATGGACTGAATATGCAATGATTGGAGCTCCAGCAGCTATTTTTAGACATTGAGGTGCCTATATATGGAAAAGCAGGAATGCACTAAGCACCTCCACTGCTAGTAACATGTGGAGCCATTATACTAAGCCCCGAACTACATAATTTTGATTAATAAATCAGATACACAAGATAATAAACTATTGTAGTTTAATGTCATAGTTGAACCTAAACATAGCTGAATACTTTACTTCTTTCCATAATCTTATGATAATTATACTTAAGTAATTGCTTGACTATCATAAACAGAACCTTCAACTTCTAATACTATGTATGGTACTCAGTAGGCCTTAATTAGTTCTCTTGATTAAATAATTTGTATTGTTTTCCTATATATTTAGAAGAAATAATAAGACCTACAGATGTGGTTAGGTTAAAATTTAGCACCTCATCATTTTACCTCCCTTTGACAGACATTTTAAATGTATTCGAATTTTTAATATTTTCTGCTTTCTTTTTGATTAATGCTTTTCTCTGTTTACTCTGTTATTGTTATTAGTTTTTCTTAAATATTTTTTTCTCTGTATGAGATCCAGAATAGGGAAATCTATAGCGACAGTAACTGGATTAATGGTTTCTTGGGGCATGGAAGGTTGGAGCAAAATGGAAAGCTAGTAACAATGAGTATAGGAACAAAGAAACCATTCTAAAACTGATTATAATGATGATTGTACAACTCCTCTTAATATGATTGAATTATTGAATTGTACAATTTGTGAATTATATGCCAATAAAACTGCTTTACATTTTTTTAAGAAGTAATATAACCAAAAACAGATATATTGGGGAGATTATGACAACAGCTTATCTATGATGAGTTAAAGTAATTCAATATATTAACATAAATATAGTAATAAAAGTCTTGAGAAGAAATGAGAGTCTTATGGTAAAGAAATTTCTAGTGAATAAAGAATATCAGAGGAATAAGGACTAAAGACTTAGCCATTAAGAGCATTTTAACAGGCAGAAATGTAATGATATAAGATATGGGATTGTCTGCTGTCACAGAAATCATGATAGTTATTTTAAGAATGGATTTTTCATATAGTGATGTCAAATACTGATAGTTAATAAGTTTCAAAAAGAAACACTTACATTGCTTCTTTCGCCCAGTCTTATTCAGGCTCACCTAGGATGCATTCCCATACAGGATTTTGCTTTGACACAAGATACAGCAAAGATCTTCAGAAATGGCTCACGGATTACAAGATGTAGGTTATAGGATAGTAGATTGCTTATATTTTTACAGTAAATTAGTATGCTAGATTTAATATTTGAAACTTTTTTTCTAGGGTTGTCAGATTTTGTGGCTGCTCAAAAGAATAATTTTGCTGTACTCTTGAACAGTTTGATTTTAGCTAAATGTTTTAGGTGTAAACTTTGGGAAAATTCTCTGCATGTATCCAAACAGCTGGAGAAAATTGGTAAGTATTAAATTCAGGTAAGCAATTTATCAATGTAGTTCAACATTTCATTGTTAAAGCAATTATGGTCTGATTGTTATAGACTTCTAATAAAAACTTGTTTGTAGACATAAATAAGGCACTGACCTTTATCATGAAAATCTGATTTTCATTTTCTTCTGCTTAAAACATGTCAATTGGAATCAAATGACTACTAAAACTCATTGCTATTGAGTCAATTCTGACTCATACCCACCTTATACCATAGAGTAGAACTGTCCCTGCAGGTTTCTGAGACTCTGAAACTACCAGCTACTCTGAGGAAGACAGATGAGGCTGTCTACTGCCATAGAGGTAGCCTTGCTGTTAGTAGCCCAATGCAAACCCACTATAATATACTTCTATGAGAAATCTAATAAAAATGAATATTCTCATTTAAAATATTTTTGCCAGAGTATACTTTTATTTTAATAACTAAAAAGTTTACTATATAGTGCTCTTTCTTCCACTTTCATGACTAATATTTTGTTTTAATCTCAGTAACAAGGCACAGAGCCTGCAGTTCCACTATTCCTGATTAATTACAGAAAATTATGTCAATTATTAATATCCTAACTTTCACCATTTTTTTCAATAACAGTAGGGTATTATCATAGAAATTTTAAAGACAAAAGGATTTGCTTAATTATTTTCTGTGTTTTCGGATCTAGTTCAGACTATGTACTGGAAAACTTCGTGAGGTACCATTTACAAAGACTGTGGCATGACTATACACTTCAGAATTTTGCAGTGTGAGGCTTTTGGCTGTATGACCTACTTATGCCTCCTCCTCTGAAAGCAGGAACTCCAAAAGCTGGGTTGTTATTGCCAGCTTTGTTAGTTTTCCAGTTTCATATGCATCTTGAGTATGTTTAAAAATCACATGCTAGCTCTTTACAGATTTTAAGACCTGTTCATTTTTAAGTGACACATACCTCCAATTATTTTGTGAAAAGTCTTTTTATTTCCATGATATTTGAGATGAGGGGTGATAGAGGACTGACAAGTGTCCTTGAAGTTGAGGTGAAGAAGGGGATTGACTGGTGAAAGTAACATTAAAGTAGGAGAGAAATTCCCAGTAGAAAGTTTCATCATCCTATACAACTCTCAAGAAAGCAAATGTCATACTTGTCTGACAAAAGCAAAAATTCTGAATTGGGAAAGAGATTCCATATGCCATTCAGAAAATAGTGATTTACTGAAAAGTTTTGAAATCATATTAAATGGTTACTAATAAAAAGTTAGTATTTCTGACTTTCTAGAATATTGTCAGTCTGGGTATCAGTTGCATTCTATACTTTCCAGATGTCAAACACTAACCTGTTCTCACACAAATTCAGTATACCTGAACATAAGTAGCAAATATTATCAAGCAGAATGTACATAATAGAAAAATGGGATGGAGGGTGAAAACAAAAATGCAAATCTAAGTTCTTTATGACCATCATAAAATGTAGTGAATCACAGGAGGCAGAATGATGGTGTAAAGAGTCACATGCTCTCACTTCCCCACAATAATTCTAGAAGAAAAAAGGTAGAAATTGACAAAATCAGTAGTCTCGGCTCTCTGAATAGTTGTATAAAGGGTTGAAGGAACAGACTGAACACTGAATCAAGGAAAAGGTAGGCTACAGATAGCTGAAGAGCAGAGTGCTCTCACCCTATCCCTGCCTTAACTCAGTGCAGCCATCTTTGGGTGGCTACAGCTGGCACCCTTGGGCAGGGAACCCCTGGTTTGAGCAGCACTGAGGGCACAGAATAGATGAGGTACTGAGTAATCAGTCCTGAGACAAAATATCACAGTGGGCTGCCTGAGCAGTGAACCCAGCGAGCATAAAGTAGACTGGAATGCCCAGCAGGCAGCAGCAGATCTGGGAAAGAATAGCATGCTGAGTGAACTCAGCATGGGTTAGAACCACCTTGAACACCAGGAGGGAACAGTATACTGGTACCGAGTTGGCCAAGCTTTTTAAGTAGTCAGACCTGGGATGGAGCACCATGGTGAAGGCAGTGTGGGACCAGATGCCCAAGCAAAAAGACTCTGGCAGAGAAATCAGAATATCTGTGAGTCCCAGCAAAGAATAACATGGTGAGCACAGTGTAGACTGAACTTTATGAATATCAGGCCTAGGAGAGACATATTGAATACAGCACAGACCAGAAAACCTCAGCAGGCAGGCAGACTAGGGACAATGGGTCCCAGAAATAATAACACTGAGCAAAGCACAAACTTGAATTTAGGAACAGTGAGGATTACATAGTGAATTGGTAATACCTGCTGCTTTTTGTGTGGAACTGAGGCTATTGTTCTATAGCTACCATCACTGGGAGAGAAAACTAACCTTGGTGAGTCTTTGACAGCTGCAGTTCTAAAAGTTGGAATAGTGTGGGACTAGAGTTGCTAGACTTCTGTTCACAGGGAAATATTGAAAATTAGTCATCAAAGACAGTCAGTAGTCCCAAATAAGGGTGAGGGAATCACTGGAGGGGCATAGTCAGTGCGTTTAAGGAAGTCTCCAGTGGTAGTATACCATAGCGTTCCCAAGATCTTGTAGAAATAAATGCTATGAGCCAAAGAGTTTGCATCTGCAGTAGCACTACTAGCATCCCCAATCAAGCAACTTAGAAGTAAAAACATTATGCTGTGCCCACAGGCAGGGAAACCAATAAGAAAAGGACAACAGCAAATGCACCTCCATGTGGAGACAGAAGCTGAAGCAGAGAATTATGCGTTTTAATCAATGAATAATAACAATAATAAAATGGAAGAAAGATCCTAGGGAAATGAAATAATCTATTCTTCAATGATATCACAGTAAAATAATGTCCCTAGCTCAACAAAATCACAATGCTTTTGGAGAATAGACCAAGCAAAAGGCCAAGAAGGGAGCACAAACCATCTCCAAAGACAAACAGATAACAATTACCAAAGACATAAAGAAAATATACAAACACAGTAAACATGCTCAGAACATTAATGGAATGCAAAAAAGGCTAAAGGAAATTGAAGAAAACCTACAAGACAAACAAGAATCTTAGTAAAGAGAATTTTTAAAAGTAATAGAGCTCCGAAGTATAATGTAAATGAAAAATTATCTAGAAGGGCTCAATAGCAGATCTGCTCAATAGCAGAAATAAAGAATTAGCAGACTTTAAATTGAGAGGATGATCAATACAAGGAGCAAATAGAAAAAGGAATAATGAACAAAGATTTAGGGGGTTGTGGGATACCATCAAACAGAATAATATAAACATGTGCATGCCAGAAGAGTGAAGGAAAGGGACAGAAATTAATTTTGAAAAAATAATGGTTCAAAATTCTCCAAATTTGCTGGTAGACACATATTTATACATCCAAGAAATTCAACAAATTCCAAGTAGGGTAAATTCAAAAAGAGCCACACCACAGCATATGATTATCAAACTTTCAACACACAAGCAAAAAGAATATTGAGGGACACATGAGAGAGGCAAATTATCACAAGCATAAAAACAAATAGATTCTTTTGTTTTGAAAAATAAACATGAACAACTGAAGAATGCTACACCAAATAACTCAACTAGAAACTATTTTTGAAAACTTTAAAAATTAATTGTTGAACTGGATTTTATTATCTTATTTTACTAGGACAGTAGTTAAATATGGAAACTTAATCTAAAAGGAGTTGTTATTAAATATCTACATTTAGTTTAAAATTCGTTGTTTAAAAATTACTATTTGATTTCTTTTCCACAGGTATATCATTGTCAAATGCAATGGTAAATGCAGGTTTAACTTCTTTTAAAAAAATAGAAGGAACAGATGCAAGGGAACTTGAACTGGTATTTAGTATTCACTATTCTTAATGTTATCTGAATTATAATGCCTATTATTTATATATTTGTTTATTTTAACTAACCAATGATTTAAGTAATGAGCATTAACAAAACTACTGATTCTGAAAAAATATTTTACTAAAATAATTTTTAGTATTGTGGTAAAAATAAAATGATAAAAATGTATTCAGATTTTAAATAGGCACCCCCCTTTTGGGACCCAGATAAAAGAAACTGTGATGCATCTACCAAAATATGAACTTGAAGTAGAACAGGTAAATGTTTTCTGTTTTTTAGGTGCTTTTAATGTTTCTTCAGGAATAAAGCTAGCCATAGTTAGGCTTTGAGCCGAGTCTGAGTAGTAAATTCTTTTTAACACTTTTTCTATCTATCTTCTTTTAAAGGTTACAAGATATAGTGATACGATGGGAGAAATATTAGTAACCATCATTTTAAGAAACTTTGAACAGCTACAAACTAAAAGAACAGCATCAGATTCTCACTATGTTACCTTAATAATAGGTGATGCAGATAATCAAGTGGTTTTTAAGCATAAAATTATGTAAGTGTGACATTTCTGATATTTAATCTTATTTCCAAGCATGTATTGTAAAAGAACAAATCTAAAAGAAAAAAGAGATAAAATCACTGTACAAAGTGGGGGGGGGGGAAGGCAAAAGAAACATACTGCTATTGGATCAATTCTGACTCAGCAAAATCACTATAGGACCATTAAATCACATTTTCTTGAGAATACACTGGGATAGTTTCTATTTGTCTCTTAAACAACGTGTCACATAGAATTAACATGGGATCTATTTTTGTTTGCCTTTTTAGTACTTAAATGAAAGGAAACCTGGTGGTACAATAGGCTAAGCATTGGACTGCTAACCACAAGGTTGACAGGTCAAATCCACCAGCTGTTCCTTGGTAGAAAGACAAAAGCAGTCTGCCTCTGTAAAGATGTAGGGCTTCAGTAATCCGGTGGAGCAGTTCTATATGGCGCTGTAGGATCAGTGTGAGTCAGAATCAACTTAACTGCAATGAGCAAATGAACGAAAGGTAAAATCTATTACCATGATTTGAAACAAATAAATAGATGACCCTTAGAAGTAATTATAGTGTGGTACAACTTTTCTATTTTGCTGCCCTTTCTAGTCATTCATGGCCTTGCTAATCTTTGGATAACGTCCTCTTTTTACTTACCTCAAAATATACTATTTCTAAATGAAAATCTAAGAAATCATGTACTACAGCTATATTGTAGGATTTAGAGAAGCAGGCCAAACACAAAATTTGATACAAAAATATTTACTACAAAAAGTATTGCTATAAGATTATAGAAACCTTTATTAAACAAAAATATCAAAATATAATGCTATTGTTTCTTGACATAGCCTCCATCCTTGGAGTCCTCTAAAGTTTCTAAAATCTCTTTTTTCTATTCCAATCATATTATTAGAGGCTCATAAAACTCTTATCACAATCCATACATACATCAATTGTGTAAAGCACATTTGTACATTCATTATCCTCATCATTCTCAAAACATTTGCTCTCCACTTATGCCCCTGGCATCAGCTTCTCATTTTTCCCCTCCCTCCCTGCTCCCCCCACCCCCATGAACCTTAGATAATTTATAAATTATTATTTTGTCATATCTTGCCCTGTCCGATGTCTCTCTTCACCCACTTTTCTGTTGTCCATCTCCCAGGGAGGAGGTCACATGTAGATCCTTGTAATCAGTTCCCACTTTCCAACCCACTCTCCCTCCACCCTCCCGATATTGCCATTCTCACCACTGGTCCTGAAGGGATCATCTGTCCTGGATTCCCTGTGTTTCCAGTTC